CTCTCTCTCTCTCTCTCTCTCTCTCTCTCTCTCTCTCTCTCTCTCTCTCTCTCTCTCTCTCTCTCTCTCTCTCTCTCTCTCTGGCACGAACTCTCTCGTCCCCACCTATCTGCAACGGGAAAATAAACAAATAAAAAAAACAAATTATAGCATCTCGACAAAAACCATTCGCCGTTGCTAAAAAACATAATTAATCCTCTGTGTCTTCTGCCTCTCCCTACGTGTGTGATTATGAACACAAAGTTGCGACGCCGCAAAGCGAGGAGGGGGCGAAGGGGGAGAAGCGACACGGAACACAGAGTAACAGGGTGCAGGTAAGAGAAGGGGATCAACGATGGCAGAGTCGCACAATAGTAGTAATTGGTCGGCCGCTGCGAAGGGGCCATACCAGAGCACCGAAACGGGTAATGGTGCCAGGGAGGGAAAACCGTTGTTGCCATCGAGCAGCCAGAGGTCAGCACAGAGCTGGCAGGATATGTTATCAGACCCATGGTGCGCGGAAATGTACGATTTACTGACTGAGGGTGCAGCAGAGTGGCCCCAGTCCTGCGGGGAACAATCTTCCTGTTGTATGGGAAAACGGAAAGCAGGGGACAAGACAAGAGCGAGAGATGAGCAGACCGACATCACTGACGTGGTCGAATTGTTCCCTTTTACATGGAAATCTCCGCAACACGCCATACCCGTATCAAAATCCGACATTGAACGGTTGTCGGACGTCGGATGGCTGAACGACAATATTATTGACATTTATTTGCAGTCTGTGTATGAAGAGGTTGGGCGGGGCCAGGACAGGTCTTATGTTCACGTCTGCACAACTTTCTGGCACCCCGAGGTCGTCACCAATCAAAAATTTGGGAAATTGACGAAAAAAGGATGGGAGAACGCAATTAAGAAGAGACCACATAAATTGCATCGACTGTGCAACGAACTGCGACGCGCGCCGGTCACTGTGATACCAGTGAACCGTAACAAACACTGAATTCTTCTTCTGTTGCTGAATGTGAGGTCCTTCTTGGAGGTCACTGCGGACAGCCGCATGTCCGACCCTCCCATTGCTATCGTCGTTGACTCAATGAGAGAAAAAAACCGAGACGAATGGACAACGTTGCGAACACTTTTGTGGCACGAGTACCTTCACGAGGCATCGAATTTGCAGACTTTGACACCCGAAAAGGTTCATTTTTCGTGGGTGACATGCAGGGATCTGGCAGGAAGTAAACTTGTGCATGCGGAATGCCCGCAACAGAACAATCACACGGACTGTGGTGTTTATGTGTGTTGTATCGCTACCACCATAATACAATTTTTTGGAAGAACCGCGGCAAAGGATCTGACGGCCAAGGATGTACTGGAAGTTATCAAAAATACAACGGTGAACGAAAGAACTGTTCGACAATTTCGCGAGTCGATGGTGGACCGGCTTGCTGCCTGTGCTGCAGTCACAAAAGGCAACGACACTTTAGCGGCTTCACAAGTAGCCACAGCGTTGCAAAGCATAATAAACAGAAGAGAGAGCAACACTTCCATGGAATGAGATGTTGTCCAGATCACCGAACGAGATGTGAGGAAAGTTGACTACTGCGCGCCAAAATGACATGAAATGTGGGATGTGCGGACATGATTGGCCCGCAGTAGCCAACCTTATCGCAATGATGGACGAGGCAACTATTCCGATGGTTTTTTTTCTAGAATTTTTTTTTGTTCCCAGATTATGAGATCTCCTTCCACCTTACAATAGAAATGCAGTCACTCTGACGCACAAAGAGGTTGCTCGCTTGCATGACTTCGCAATTTCAAATCTCTCTCTCTCTCTCTCTCTCTCTCTCTCTCTCTCTCTCTCTCTCTCTCTCTC